TCCTTGCCACGCCTTCGTGGCATGCACCGTCGCCTCCTTGTGTCCGGTCTTCCCAGGTCCCTCCCTCCCCTCCCTGCCTCGCCTGCGCCGCCTTGCCTTCCTTGCGTCGAGGGGCGGCAGCGCGCCGCTCCTCACTCCTCCTCGTTCCCCCCGACAGAGGCTCCTCTGGAGACCCTCCACCTGGACGTGTGGGGCCCAGCCCGCGTTCGTGGTCAGGGCGGTGAGCGGTACTTTCTGCTGGTTGTTGACGACTACTCGCGTTACACCACGGTCTTCCCCTTGCGCACCAAGGGTGAGGTCCCTGCTGTTCTGATCCCTTGGATCCGCACGGTTCGTCTCCAGCTCCGCCGCCGTTTCCGGACGGATCTTCCTGTCCTGCGTCTGCACTCTGACAGAGGTGGTGAGTTTTCCTCCGACCTCTTGAGGACCTTCTGTCAGGCGGAGGGCATCGAGCAGACCTTCACGCTTCCGGACTCCCCACAGCAGAATGGGGTTGCTGAGCGCCGCATTGGCCTGGTCATGGAGGTCGCTCGTACCTCCTTGGTCCACGCGGCGGCTCCCCATTTTCTGTGGCCGTTTGCTGTCCGGTACGCCGCGCATCAGCTCAACCTCTGGCCCCGTGTCTCCTTGCCGGAGACCTCGCCCACACTGCGTTGGACGGGGGAGGTTGGCGATGCGTCGCGCTTCCGGGTGTGGGGTGCTCGTGCCCTTGTCCGCGATACGTCCGCGGACAAGCTCTCCTCCCGCACGCTTCCCTGTGTCTTCCTTGGCTTTGTCCCTGACGCGCCTGGCTGGCAGTTTTACCACCCCACCTCGCGCCGGGTCTTCGCCTCTCAGGATGTCACCTTTGACGAGTCGGTCCCTTTTTACCGTCTCTTCCCCTACCGCACTGCCCCCCTCCCTCCCCCGCCGCTTTTCCTTGCTCCTGGTCCCCCTCCGGTAGACCCCCTTCCCCCTCAGGGTCCTGCTCCTTCAGGTGTCTCTCAGGTAGACCCTCCTCCCGTCGCTGAGCCTGTCGAGGTCACAGGTGACTCAGGTGCTGCTGCGGGTGGTGCTGCTGGGAGTGCTGAGCCTGGGGGTGCTGAGCCTGGGGGTGCTGGGCCTGGGGGTGCTGGGGCTGCAGGTGCTGGGACTGAGGGTGCTGGAGCTGAGGGTACTGTGCCTGAGAGTTTGCCGCCTGGGGGTGCTGAGCCTGGGGGTGCTACGACTGGGGGTGCTGAGCCTGCGGGTACTGAGCCTGCGGGTACTGAGCCTGGGGGTGCTGCTACTGAGCCTACGGAGCCTCGGGTTACTGCGTCTGGGGGTGCTCCGGTTCGGGGTGCTGAGCAGTCTCTCACACCGCAGCAGCTTCGTGACTGGTACGTCCGACGCTTTCGCCGTCCCAGTGGCTCGGCTGGAGTTGGGGGTGCTGGAGCTGCTCGTCCTGGGGGTGCTCGTACTGGGGGTACTGGAGCTGCCGGGACTGGCTGTTCTGGGAGCACTGCGACTGGAGCTGCTGGAGCTGGGGACTCTGGCGCTGGCGGTACTAGCGGAGTTGGAGCTGCCGACTCTGGGGGTGGCGCTGCTGCTGGTGCTGCGGACCCACCTGGTGGAGCTGCTGCTGGTGCTGAGGAGTCGGACGGTGGAGCTGCTGCTGGAGCTGGGGACCCGGCCGGTGGAGCTGCTGCTGGTGCTGTGGACCCGGACGCTGGAGCTCCTACTGGTGCTGAGGACCCGGCCGCTGGAGTCCCTTCTGCTTCTCGAGACGCTGCGCGGCCGCGACCGTACTTCGTACCGCTCCTTCAGCAGGTTCTTGGGCAGGCTCCTCCTCCTTGTCCTCCTCCCTCCGTAGAGTGTCCTCCGCCTGTCCAGCCGCAGTCACAGTTACCGCCTGCCTCGCCTCTCCCTGCTCCCTCTCCTTATACTGGTCCCACAGGAGGTCTTACAGAGCGTCGTGAGCCTGAGTCTCGTCCTGCGTCGCCTGTTCGTCCTGCTCGCACTGCTAGTCGTGTCCGTCGTGAGCGTCCTCCTCCTGTCCCAGGCACTCACTACATGACTCTGCGTCCCTCTACTGCTCCTCGGCGTGTCCCTCTACCGTCTCCTCCTGCGTCCTCTTTGCCTGCCGTTCCGGACCCTGAGTCTGACCGGTATCGCGCTGAGCACCCTACAGTCACGCGTCTCCTTGCTACTGTTGTCACTGACCCCACCTTTGAGTCCTCGGCTGCGTCTGCTCTGGTCGCTGAGTTGGTTGACTTTGCTGCTGCCTGTCGTCTAGACTACGCTGCTAGCCTTGTCGCTGAGTCAGAGTCTGCGTCAGTCTGTCCTCCGTCCGTCGGGGGTGAGTGTGCTCTTGGCACGGACGTCCTTGAGGACAGGCAGGAGGACTTTGACTCACTTGCGGCTGCTGTACCTCATCTCGTGGCCTGGTTGCTTGCCCCTGAGGGAGACCCGGATGCACTAGACATCCCCACTCCGCGCACTTACGCAGAGGCGATCTCGGGTCCCTACTCCTCTCAGTGGCAGACAGCCATGGACGCAGAGATGGCATCCTGGAAGTCCACAGGCACCTACGTCGACGAGGTTCCCCCTCCTGGGGCGAACATCGTCGATGGCATGTGGATTTTCAGGGTGAAGCGGCCGCCAGGTTCTCCGCCTGTCTTCAAGGCTCGTTACGTTGCTAGAGGCTTCAGTCAGCGTCAGGGGGTCGACTTCTTCCAGACCTTCTCCCCCACCCCGAAGATGACCACTCTTCGGGTTCTGCTGCACGTTGCTGCTCAGCGTGACTACGAGCTTCACTCTCTTGACTTCAGCACAGCGTTCCTGCAGGGCAGCCTGCACGAGGAGATCTGGCTGCGCCGCCCACCTGGCTTTACTGGGTCGTTTCCCCCTGGTACCCAGTGGAGTCTCCGCCGGCCAGTCTACGGTCTCCGCCAGGCGCCACGTGAGTGGCACGACACACTGAGGACTACTCTTGCGGCTCTTGGGTTCGCGCCGTCTACTGCTGACCCGTCGCTGTTTCTGCGCACAGACACGTCGCTGCCGCCGTTCTACATTCTCGTGTACGTCGACGACTTGGTCTTTGCTACTGCTGACACTGAGGCACTCGCTCGTGTGAAGTCGGAGCTGCAGAAGAGACACACCTGCACTGACCTGGGTGAGCTGCGTAGCTACCTTGGCTTGCAGATCACCCGGGACAGAGCTCGCCGCACCATCACCCTGACTCAGTCACACATGGTGCAGCAGGTCCTTCAGCGCTTCGGCTTCCAGTTCTCCTCACCACAGGCCACACCTCTGGCTACCAGCCACTCGCTCTCAGCTCCACCTTCGGACGAGTCCGTAGAGCCGAGTGGCCCGTACCCAGAGCTTGTAGGCTGCCTCATGTACCTGATGACTTGCACGCGACCTGACCTCGCGTACCCTCTTAGCATCCTTGCTCGTTACGTTGCGCCTGGGAGACACAGGCGAGAGCACTGGGAGGCTGCTAAGAGGGTGCTGCGTTACCTGTGCAGTACATCAGGCATGGGGCTGGTGCTTGGAGGACGCGACAGAGTTGTCCTCACTGGTCACTCGGACGCCTCTTGGGTGGACGACCTGGCTACGCAGCGGTCGTCACAGGGTTACACCTTCAGCCTTGGCTCAGGTTCTGTCTCGTGGCGGTCCACCCGCTCTTCCTCTGTTCTCAGCTCTAGTTGTGAGGCTGAGATCTACGCCACAGCCATGGCTGCACAGGAGTTACGCTGGCTCACCTACCTGCTGACTGACTTGGGAGAGCGGCCTAGTTCTCCTCCAGTTCTGTACGGTGACAACAAGGCGGCTCTTGCCTTGTGTCAGGAGCACAGACTGGAGCACAGGACGAAGCACATTGCTCTTCGCTACTTTCTTGCTCGAGAGCTTCAGCAGCGCGGTCAGCTTCGGCTTGTGTACGTGGACTCGAAGGCCAACACTGCTGATATCTTCACCAAGGCGCTCCCGCCTAGTGATCATCAGCGGCACTGTTCTTCTTTAGGCCTTGTGTCCACGTTTCCTCACTTGCTCACTGCTTGACATTCTTTGTACTGTACTTTATATATATCTTGTTGCTTGCTTGCTAGGTTTTGATCACTGTGTTGCTTGTCTTGTACTATATCTAGCACTGCATGTGAACTGGCCTTGTGGCCTTTACTTGTGCTCGGAGTGTGGTGACGTTGTGATCCACCCTGGGCTTTGTTTTGCTTTGCTGGACTGGTCTTGTGACCCTTTGTTCTCCCCCACTTTGCCTATGGGGGTGTGTTAAACTGTATTATGCTTGTAGGCTGTAGTGGGGTAGCCAATATGGGGTACAACCCCAACTAGGGTTTCATATTTGTACCCAAACTCCTGTTAGTTCATCCATTCTTGCCTAGTAATTCTGATAGGCGTCTCGGGCAGTGGTTGCCGAAGTGGCACCTTCGCAACATCCACACTCATTATGAGGAACTCTTTTTCAAGAAGAACCGAAGATATTTCTAAGTAGTTTAAAAATTTTCCATTTATAAGACTTATAAGACACCCTAAACCATCCCGTTTACAAGATAACTCAAGCATTTTTGCCCGTGTACGAGATAAGACATATATGTCTTATATCCGGGCGATGACGGTATGCTTCGTAGCAAATTGGATGCGCTTATTTCACCCAGGACAGCACCTGGTTGCACTTCGCAAGTCTCTACTTACGTCACCACTATTTGTCGTATCTGTACGTGTGGGGCGAACGAAGCAGAAAAGCTGTGGAACTTGCGTGCATCTCTCGGCCTTCGTCACTCCCCTACGAGTCAGAATGACGAGAATCGCAAATAGGGTTACTGTCGCATTGGGGCGACCACTGCCTTGTTCAAAAGGATGTTCCACGCTCTAATCCCATGAATGGAAACTGGGTTTTGTACGGGCCAACCAGCAAATAGGGTTCCCCGACGCAGTACAAAAAGCCTTGAGCAACATGCACATGTCAAGTTGATGATAAAAACCACTCCATTTTGTTGGATACATAATTTTCAACATCAATATCACTCAATTTCAGCCAAAGCCTTCTCAATCCTGTCCATGGCTTCCAAAAGCACATCATCGGACGCCGCATACGATATCCGAATGCACTCAGAAGCTCCAAAGGCCTCCCCTGGCACCAGCGCCACCTGGATGCATTGGGACGGGTAGGAAATTTGTCCAAGAAGAGAAGCAACTTATTAGTGTATGAGTACTGTATGAGTGTACAGGGCGACATGCTATGCTTTGATCATGCTTATTAAAGAAGGATATGCATGGAACGTCAAAATTCATAAGACCCTGACAGTCACACGCCCTCTCACATGCCCACTCTCCAGCAAGTAGCAGCACATCAACTGGCTGTCTGTGATCAGCCCAAACCCCTACTCCCTTATAACTGCACAGCATGCCCCTGAGTGAACCTCTGACAACCACAGCTCCAATCTCACCTGCCCCCTCTCCAGCAGGTAGCGGCACATTGACTCGCTGTCTGTGACTAGCCCAACCCCCCTTTAGGACGCGGGCACTCGCATCCATTTTGGCGATCGATTGATTTTTTTCGATCTGCCACCGCACTGGAAACCTGCTGTTATATTCTAAAACTCTCCTGAGCTGTTCAAGATCCGTAAAAAAAAACGATCCTGCACCGAAATCAATTGCCGAAATCGATGCGAGTGCCCGCGTCCTTATTGCACATCATGCTCGTACTCGACACCCTGACAGCCATGGCAGCTATTCCCTCCCTCCTCGCCCCCTTGCTTGCTCTCACCTGCCCCCTCTCCAACAGGTAGAGACACATCGACTCGCTGTCCGTGACTGGTCCAAACCCCGTCTACTGCACATCATGCTCGTACTCAAAACCCTGACAGCAACAGCAGCTATTCCCTCCTGCCTCCTCTCCCCCAGCAGCAACAGCAGCTCTTGCTCTCACCTGTCCCCTCTCCAGCAGGTATCGGCACATCGACTCGCTGTCTGTGATCGGCCCGAACCCCGGGCCTGAGCGGCCGTAGAAAGAGGAAACGTCAGGGAAGAGGTAGAAGGCCCCCTGGGGTGGTGATGTGGGAGAGGTTGGGAGTGGTGGGAGTGGTGGGAGTGGTGGGACATGAGAGGTGAAGAAGGTATTAGGAAGTAAGCTACTGAAAAAGACGGAGACGTCTGGGAAGAGGTAGAAGGCTTGTGAGAATTGAACCGATTGCTTGATTAGAGTGCATGAGGGTTTACATAGTTGGAGCTAGGGAAGGGGGGTTGGTTGAGTACCTAGCCAACATTATTGGCCCCCCACCAATAAGTTGGGTTGGAGAATTATTGGGGGGTCCCAATAATGTTGGCCAAAGTGGGCCAACATTATTGGGGGGGGCAATAATCTCCCAACCCAACCTTGGGGGCCAATAATTGGGCCAAGGTTGGGTTCCAACCCCCAACTAGGGTTAACCCTAGTTGTGCACTCAAACATAGTTTGGGTGCCTATCTCTATCCTAGGGTTCATATGATCAATGCAGGATACAAAAGAGTAGTATAATCTAACAAGGCTTGCTGGTGCTGGTGGTGATGTGGGTGGGTTGGAAAGGGTAGGAGCGGGTGGGGCACGAGAGGTTGAAAGAGGCCAGTCTATCAAAGGGGGAAGAGAGGCAAGGAGGACCGAAATTTTGCACTTCGATTTTGTTTGTTCGATTGTGTCGATACTTACTTGAGGCGCCTCGAAAGGCATCTTCTAAGGCGCCTGGAGAGGCGACCGAGGCTACCAGAAGGACAGGTACTTAGAAGAAGTAGCGCCTGGACAGGTACTTTGTTCGCTCGTTTTATGTCGCTACCAGAATTGTGGCGTTTGCTTACCTGTGGCACGGCCAGTTTGACTCCATCAATCCTCTCCAGTCGAGCCAGCCATCACCATCGCTGCCACTGTGGCTTTCCAAATAGACCAATTTCAGGTTCTTCAAAAAGCCGCCTACCTGCGGCATGGCCAGCTTGATCCCATCAATCTTCTCCAGCCCCACCACCAGCATGTCTCGCCGCCTTCTGAACGCGCAAACCATCGCTGCCACTGTGACGCCTCCGCACGCAAGTTCTCAGATGCCTCAGAATGATCCCAGACCTGGGGCTTCTCACCTGGGGCTTCTCACCTGGGGCACGGCCAGTTTGATTCCATCAATCTTCTCCAGGCGAGCCACCAGCATGTCTCTCCTTCTCCTGAACGCCCCCACCATCGCTGCCACTGTGTCGCTCCCAACCCCACATTAATTTTGTGAGATGCTTCACACAGCTCCCTCACCTGCGGCACGGCCAGCTTGATTCCGGCAATCTTCTCCAGCCAAGCCACCAGCATGTCTCTCCTTCTCCTGAATGCCTCCACCATCGCTGCCACTGTTGCACCCCCGCATGGTCCCAGCTCGAATGCTGCCATGGCTGCCTTCTGCGCGATGCTGCTGGCGCCAGAGGTGGTCTGATGGGGGTGTGTGGAAGAGAATGGGAATGGACAACATAAGGGGTGAAGAGTGAGGGGTTGTGAGGGGAAGGTTCAACCACCACACGGCCCCAGCTCAAAGGCTGCCAGGGCTGCCTTCTGCGCGATGCTGCTGGCGCCTGATGTGGTCTGATGGAGACAGGAGCAGGTGGGGTGGGGTGGAAGGAAACGGGGATTGGGGGGGTGCTTTGGGCGTGTTTGCAGCCCCATCGCTGCCACTGTGTCGCCCCCACATGGCCCCAGCTGGAACGCTGCTATGGCTGCTTTCTTTCTGAGCGATGCGGCTGGCTCCAGACCTGATCTGAGGAGCGCAAGGTCACAGCCCCTCACAACCCCTCACAGCCCCTCACAGCCCCTCACAGCCCCTCACAGCCCCTCACAGCCCCTCACAGCCCCTCACAGCCCCTCACAGCCCCTCACAGCCCCTCACAGCCCCTCACAGCCCCTCACAGCCCCTCACAGGCCCTCACAGGCCCACCCACCCAGCCTCTCACAACTCCTTAACCCCGCGCAACCGTTTCCAGACCCTCCTAACCCCACCTGGCTCTGGATGCGGTTGGCCGCTGCTGCAAACGGCTTGGGAGCAGCGAGATAGCCCAGGCGCCAGCCTGTCATGGCGAAGGCCTGTGAGGGAGGCGAGGGACAGAGCAGGGGGGGTAGGGGGTAGGAGGGAAGGTGGGGAGGTGGGGAGGGGGGCAAGGAGGAGACGGGGATTGGGAGCGCTGGCTTGAGTTGGGAGCAGCGAGATAGCCCAGGCGCCAGCCTGTCATGGCGAAGGCCTGTGAGGGGAGAGGATGAGAGAGGGTGAGAAGGAGGGGGTAAAGGGGAAGGCAAGAAGAGGGGGATTGAAAGCGCTGGCTTGGAAGCAGCGAAATATCCCAGGCGCTAGCCTGTCATGGCGAAGGCTTGTTCAGGATAAGGGAAGAGGGAGAGAAACGGGGGTTGTAGAGGTGGGAAATGGGGAGCGGGAAAGATATAGTGCTGTAAAAAATGTCATTTACTGGCAAAAGCCTGGTATTTGACAGTTGCTGAAAACAAGCTACATGTTTTGGAATGGAGAAGCCGTTGACTGTGAGTGTGCGCTCTCACATGCCCGGTAGTTGTGGCTGAACATCAATGATTGTGTGCTCTTAATAAGTGAGCTCGGAGAGTGCATCGAGAGCGGCATGGCGGGGAGACGTGCGTGCGCACACCATTACAAATGGTTTGAGAGGGTGCTTCGCGAGTGGCATACCTTGGAGAATCCATTGACTGTTAGTGTGCGCTCCCACATGCCGGGTAAAGAAGCAAAGCTCACGTGGCGAGCTGGCGGGTAGATGATGTGCTCGTAGATCTCGTCTGCTAGTACCTGTGCGCGTGGGGAGTAGAGAGATGAGAGGGACAGAGGGCAAAGATGCATGAATAGAGCTGACGGGTAGATGATGTTGCAACTTCTCGGGCGAGTACAGAGCTTTTGAAAGGGTTGAGCAGAGGACGAGCAACTTCTCTGCTAGTACCTCTGCTCGTCCTCTGCGCAGAGGACGAGCAACTTCTCTGCTAGTACCTCTGCTCGTCCTCTGCGCAGAGGACGAGCAACTTCTCTGCTAGTACCTCTGCTCGTCCTCTGAGCAGAGGACGAGCAACTTCTCTGCTAGTACCTCTGCTCGTCCTCTGCGCAGAGGACGAGCAACTTCTCTGCTAGTACCTCTGCTCGTCCTCTGCGCAGAGGACGAGCAACTTCTCTGCTAGTACCTCTGCTCGTCCTCTGCGCAGAGGACGAGCAACTTCTCTGCTAGTACCTCTGCTCGTCCTCTGAGCAGAGGACGAGCAACTTCTCTGCTAGTACCTCTGCTCGTCCTCTGCGCAGAGGACGAGCAACTTCTCTGCTAGTACCTCTGCTCGTCCTCTGCGCAGAGGACGAGCAACTTCTCTGCTAGTACCTCTGCTCGTCCTCTGCGCAGAGGACGAGCAACTTCTCTGCTAGTACCTCTGCTCGTCCTCTGCGCAGAGGACGAGCAACTTCTCTCCTAGTACCTCTGCTCGTCCTCTGCGCAGAGGACGAGCAACTTCTCTGCTAGTACCTCTGCTCGTCCTCTGCGCAGAGGACGAGCAACTTCTCTGCTAGTACCTCTGCTCGTCCTCTGCGCAGAGGACGAGCAACTTCTCTGCTAGTACCTCTGCTCGTCCTCTGCGCAGAGGACGAGCAACTTCTCTGCTAGTACCTCTGCTCGTCCTCTGCGCAGAGGACGAGCAACTTCTCTGCTAGTACCTCTGCTCGTCCTCTGAGCAGAGGACGAGCAACTTCTCTGCTAGTACCTCTGCTCGTCCTCTGCGCAGAGGATGAGCAACTTCTCTGCTAGTACCTCTGCTCGTCCTCTGCGCAGAGGACGAGCAACTTCTCTGCTAGTACCTCTGCTCGTCCTCTGCGCAGAGGACGACCAACTTCTCTGCTAGTACCTCTGCTCGTCCTCTGCGCAGAGGACGAGCAACTTCTCTGCTAGTACCTCTGCTCGTCCTCTGCGCAGAGGACGACCAACTTCTCTGCTAGTACCTCTGCTCGTCCTCTGCGCAGAGGACGAGCAACTTCTCTCCTAGTACCTCTGCTCGTCCTCTGCGCAGAGGACGAGCAACTTCTCTGCTAGTACCTCTGCTCGTCCTCTGCGCAGAGGACGAGCAACTTCTCTGCTAGTACCTCTGCTCGTCCTCTGCGCAGAGGACGAGCAACTTCTCTGCTAGTACCTCTGCTCGTCCTCTGCGCAGAGGACGAGCAACTTCTCTGCTAGTACCTCTGCTCGTCCTCTGCGCAGAGGACGAGCAACTTCTCTGCTAGTACCTCTGCTCGTCCTCTGCGCAGAGGACGAGCAACTTCTCTGCTAGTACCTCTGCTCGTCCTCTGCGCAGAGGACGAGCAACTTCTCTGCTAGTACCTCTGCTCGTCCTCTGCGCAGAGGACGAGCAACTTCTCTGCTAGTACCTCTGCTCGTCCTCTGCGCAGAGGACGAGCAACTTCTCTGCTAGTACCTCTGCTCGTCCTCTGCGCCGAGGACGAGCAACTTCTCTGCTAGTACCTCTGCTCGTCCTCTGCGCAGAGGACGAGCAACTTCTCTCCTAGTACCTCTGCTCGTCCTCTGCGCAGAGGACGAGCAACTTCTCTGCTAGTACCTCTGCTCGTCCTCTGCGCAGAGGACGAGCAACTTCTCTCCTAGTACCTCTGCTCGTCCTCTGCGCAGAGGACGAGCAACTTCTCTCCTAGTACCTCTGCTCGTCCTCTGCGCAGAGGACGAGCAACTTCTCTGCTAGTACCTCTGCTCGTCCTCTGAGCAGAGGACGAGCAACTTCTCTGCTAGTACCTCTGCTCGTCCTCTGCGCAGAGGACGAGCAACTTCTCTGCTAGTACCTCTGCTCGTCCTCTGCGCAGAGGACGAGCAGGCGCGAGGCGGGGGCGAGGGGCGGAACGCTGAGACCAGCACGCATGTAATGAGGCGGGGGGCGGAATGCTGAGACGTCTCAAAAACACCCTCATTACGAGCAGGCGGGGAGGCGGGGGCGGGGGCGGGGGGCAGAACGCTGAGACCAGCACGCGCCACACACGAGGAAGGAGCACAACTCACCAAGAGCCGCGGGTGTTGAGCCACCACGTTTGCCAACTCCTGAAGCTGCTCTGGCGAGTAGATAGCTCCGGTGGGGTTGGAGGGTGGCAGAGGATGAGGAGGGAATGTGAGAGCTAAGACACATATGTGCTGCACTCACCAGCAGTTGGGGGTGTTGGCCACCACGTCAGCCAATTCTTGCCATTTCTTCGGGGAATAGACGGCGCCGGTGGGGTGGGAGGGCGAGCAGAGGATGAGGAGGCGCGGGACAGAGGGTGGCTTGCCAGGCCAAGCTCACGCACAGCACAGCACGCCACGCACTCACCTACCGCAGAGAGCAAGGCTCACCAGCAATCGAGGGTGTTGGGCCACCACTTGTGCCAATTCCTCCAGTTGCGCTGGCGAGTAGACGGCTCCGGTGGGGTTGGAGGGAAGGAGGGAGGGTGGGAAGAAAAACAGCGCACACCAAGCAAAGCAGTCGGGGGTGTTGGGCCAGCAGTTCCACCAATTCCTCCAGTTGCTCTGGCGAGTACACAGCCCCGGTGGGGTTGGAGGGCGAGCAGAGGGTGAGGAGGCACGAGAGCAGAGGGTGAGGAGGCACGAGAGCAGAGGGTGAGGAGGCACGAGAGCAGAGGGTGAGGAGGCACGAGAGCAGAGGGTGAGGAGGCACGAGAGCAGAGGGTGAGGAGGCACGAGAGCAGAGGGTGAGGAGGCACGAGAGCAGAGGGTGAGGAGGCACGAGAGCAGAGGGTGAGGAGGCACGAGAGCAGAGGGTGAGGAGGCACGAGAGCAGAGGGTGAGGAGGCACGAGAGCAGAGGGTGAGGAGGCACGAGAGCAGAGGGTGAGGAGGCACGAGAGCAGAGGGTGAGGAGGCACGAGAGCAGAGGGTGAGGAGGCACGAGAGCAGAGGGTGAGGAGGCACGAGAGCAGAGGGTGAGGAGGCACGAGAGCAGAGGGTGAGGAGGCACGAGAGCAGAGGGTGAGGAGGCACGAGAGCAGAGGGTGAGGAGGCACGAGAGCAGAGGGTGAGGAGGCACGAGAGCAGAGGGTGAGGAGGCACGAGAGCAGAGGGTGAGGAGGCACGAGAGCAGAGGGTGAGGAGGCACGAGAGCAGAGGGTGAGGAGGCACGAGAGCAGAGGGTGAGGAGGCACGAGAGCAGAGGGTGAGGAGGCACGAGAGCAGAGGGTGAGGAGGCACGAGAGCAGAGGGTGAGGAGGCACGAGAGCAGAGGGTGAGGAGGCACGAGAGCAGAGGGTGAGGAGGCACGAGAGCAGAGGGTGAGGAGGCACGAGAGCAGAGGGTGAGGAGGCACGAGAGCAGAGGGTGAGGAGGCACGAGAGCAGAGGGTGAGGAGGCACGAGAGCAGAGGGTGAGGAGGCACGAGAGCAGAGGGTGAGGAGGCACGAGAGCAGAGGGTGAGGAGGCACGAGAGCAGAGGGTGAGGAGGCACGAGAGCAGAGGGTGAGGAGGCACGAGAGCAGAGGGTGAGGAGGCACGAGAGCAGAGGGTGAGGAGGCACGAGAGCAGAGGGTGAGGAGGCACGAGAGCAGAGGGTGAGGAGGCACGAGAGCAGAGGGTGAGGAGGCACGAGAGCAGAGGGTGAGGAGGCACGAGAGCAGAGGGTGAGGAGGCACGAGAGCAGAGGGTGAGGAGGCACGAGAGCAGAGGGTGAGGAGGCACGAGAGCAGAGGGTGAGGAGGCACGAGAGCAGAGGGTGAGGAGGCACGAGAGCAGAGGGTGAGGAGGCACGAGAGCAGAGGGTGAGGAGGCACGAGAGCAGAGGGTGAGGAGGCACGAGAGCAGAGGGTGAGGAGGCACGAGAGCAGAGGGTGAGGAGGCACGAGAGCAGAGGGTGAGGAGGCACGAGAGCAGAGGGTGAGGAGGCACGAGAGCAGAGGGTGAGGAGGCACGAGAGCAGAGGGTGAGGAGGCACGAGAGCAGAGGGTGAGGAGGCACGAGAGCAGAGGGTGAGGAGGCACGAGAGCAGAGGGTGAGGAGGCACGAGAGCAGAGGGTGAGGAGGCACGAGAGCAGAGGGTGAGGAGGCACGAGAGCAGAGGGTGAGGAGGCACGAGAGCAGAGGGTGAGGAGGCACGAGAGCAGAGGGTGAGGAGGCACGAGAGCAGAGGGTGAGGAGGCACGAGAGCAGAGGGTGAGGAGGCACGAGAGCAGAGGGTGAGGAGGCACGAGAGCAGAGGGTGAGGAGGCACGAGAGCAGAGGGTGAGGAGGCACGAGAGCAGAGGGTGAGGAGGCACGAGAGCAGAGGGTGAGGAGGCACGAGAGCAGAGGGTGAGGAGGCACGAGAGCAGAGGGTGAGGAGGCACGAGAGCAGAGGGTGAGGAGGCACGAGAGCAGAGGGTGAGGAGGCACGAGAGCAGAGGGTGAGGAGGCACGAGAGCAGAGGGTGAGGAGGCACGAGAGCAGAGGGTGAGGAGGCACGAGAGCAGAGGGTGAGGAGGCACGAGAGCAGAGGGTGAGGAGGCACGAGAGCAGAGGGTGAGGAGGCACGAGAGCAGAGGGTGAGGAGGCACGAGAGCAGAGGGTGAGGAGGCACGAGAGCAGAGGGTGAGGAGGCACGAGAGCAGAGGGTGAGGAGGCACGAGAGCAGAGGGTGAGGAGGCACGAGAGCAGAGGGTGAGGAGGCACGAGAGCAGAGGGTGAGGAGGCACGAGAGCAGAGGGTGAGGAGGCACGAGAGCAGAGGGTGAGGAGGCACGAGAGCAGAGGGTGAGGAGGCACGAGAGCAGAGGGTGAGGAGGCACGAGAGCAGAGGGTGAGGAGGCACGAGAGCAGAGGGTGAGGAGGCACGAGAGCAGAGGGTGAGGAGGCACGAGAGCAGAGGGTGAGGAGGCACGAGAGCAGAGGGTGAGGAGGCACGAGAGCAGAGGGTGAGGAGGCACGAGAGCAGAGGGTGAGGAGGCACGAGAGCAGAGGGTGAGGAGGCACGAGAGCAGAGGGTGAGGAGGCACGAGAGCAGAGGGTGAGGAGGCACGAGAGCAGAGGGTGAGGAGGCACGAGAGCAGAGGGTGAGGAGGCACGAGAGCAGAGGGTGAGGAGGCACGAGAGCAGAGGGTGAGGAGGCACGAGAGCAGAGGGTGAGGAGGCACGAGAGCAGAGGGTGAGGAGGCACGAGAGCAGAGGGTGAGGAGGCACGAGAGCAGAGGGTGAGGAGGCACGAGAGCAGAGGGTGAGGAGGCACGAGAGCAGAGGGTGAGGAGGCACGAGAGCAGAGGGTGAGGAGGCACGAGAGCAGAGGGTGAGGAGGCACGAGAGCAGAGGGTGAGGAGGCACGAGAGCAGAGGGTGAGGAGGCACGAGAGCAGAGGGTGAGGAGGCACGAGAGCAGAGGGTGAGGAGGCACGAGAGCAGAGGGTGAGGAGGCACGAGAGCAGAGGGTGAGGAGGCACGAGAGCAGAGGGTGAGGAGGCACGAGAGCAGAGGGTGAGGAGGCACGAGAGCAGAGGGTGAGGAGGCACGAGAGCAGAGGGTGAGGAGGCACGAGAGCAGAGGGTGAGGAGGCACGAGAGCAGAGGGTGAGGAGGCACGAGAGCAGAGGGTGAGGAGGCACGAGAGCAGAGGGTGAGGAGGCACGAGAGCAGAGGGTGAGGAGGCACGAGAGCAGAGGGTGAGGAGGCACGAGAGCAGAGGGTGAGGAGGCACGAGAGCAGAGGGTGAGGAGGCACGAGAGCAGAGGGTGAGGAGGCACGAGAGCAGAGGGTGAGGAGGCACGAGAGCAGAGGGTGAGGAGGCACGAGAGCAGAGGGTGAGGAGGCACGAGAGCAGAGGGTGAGGAGGCACGAGAGCAGAGGGTGAGGAGGCACGAGAGCAGAGGGTGAGGAGGCACGAGAGCAGAGGGTGAGGAGGCACGAGAGCAGAGGGCCAAGACCACCACTTCATGCTCCCCTCCGCTCCAAGGGTGTTACACTCACCAGCAGTCGGGGATGTTGAGCCACCACTTCCGCTAATTCCTCCAGTTGCTCAGGCGAGTAGACGGCTCCAGTGGGGTTGGAGGGTGAGCAGAGGATGAGGAGGCACGAGGCGGGGGTGAGGGCAGCAGGATGCCAAGAGGAGCACTCACAGAGAGGAGCAGCACTCACCAGCAACCGAGGGTGCTGAGCAACGACTTGTGCCAATTCTTGCAGTTGCTCAGGCGAGTAGACGGCTCCAGTGGGGTTGGAGGGTGAGCAGAGGATGAGTAGGCGCGAGGCGGGGGTGAGGGCAGCTTGCAGGGCGGAGGGGGAGAGGAGGAAGGAGTGGGCCGTGGTGGTGGGGAGGACGACGGGCGTGGCTCCTACGAGTTTAGCCATCTCAGGGTAGGACACCCAGTAGGGCGCTGGGATGATGACCTGGGGGGGTTGGGGGTGTGGGGGGGGATGGTGGAGAATTGGAGGCATCTCAGGGTAGGACACCCAGTAGGACACCCAGTAGGACACCCAGTAGGACACCCAGTAGGACACCCAGTAGGGCGCTGGGATGATCACCTGGAAAGGGGGAATAGAGGACGAAGCAGCAGTCAGCATGTCCTGTGGCAGTGGCAGCACGAATGCTGACGGGTGTGGCTCCCACTAGGCGAGCCATCTCAGGGCAAGGCAAATCGTGGGGGAAAGTGGGAGTGGTGGGGAAATGGGAAGAGCTGCGTACGTGAGGAGCTGCGACCGACCCCATTTCACCTCATTTCCAAGTCACCCCGTCCCCATATCCCATTCCTCAGCTCGCCCCCGTATCTCATTCCTCCCCAATCTCACTCACCGTGTCCCACGGACTGCATGTGGCCATCACGCCTTGGAATACAGCGTGCATGGCTGGTAAGCATGGAATGTCCCTGCTGTGCTACTCCCCCTGCCATCCAGTGTGCCACGTGTCTATGTGAATACAAGAACCCTTGCTCTCAAATCTCTTCCCCGTCTCACTCACCGTGTCCCACGGACTGCATGTGGCCATCACCCCTTGGAATACAGCGTGCATGGCTGGTAAGATTGGAATGTCCCTGCTGTGCTACTCCCCCTGCTACTCCCCCTGCTACTCCCCTGCCAGCCAGTGTGCCTCGTGCCAGTGTGAATGGAAGCATCCTTGGTCTCTCACTCACCTAATCCCCGTCGCTCACCTAATCCCCGTCGCTCTCACCTCATCCCCGTCGCTCTCACCTCATCCCCTGCACGCGACCATGCCATCACCCCTTGGAACACGGCTTGCTTGGCTGGTATGCGGGTTGATCACCCTGTTACCTCCATACACCCTACCTCATCCCCATTCCCATTCCTCGCCTCGTCCTTTGGACTGCATGTGGCCATCACCCCTTGGATTGGAACACGGCTTGCTTGGCTGCTGGGGATGAGTATGGAATGGCCTTGCTACTCCCCCATGCCACATCATTCCCCCGCGTCCCGTCTCACCTCTTCCCCCACCTTGCCTGGTCCCCAAGCCTGCACATGGCCATAACTGCATGGAACATGGCCTGCTTGACTGGATGAGGAGCACATGGGTGATTCCCCCTGCAAGCCCCCCCTCCTTCATCCCTCACCCCACACCCCCCCGTCTCACCTCGTCCCCCGCACTGCACGTGGCCATCACCCCTTGGAACACGGCTTGCTTGGCCCCGTTTGTCACCACCACTTCCTCTGGCGAGTAGGTCAGTCCGTTCTCAGCTGGGAGAAGAAGGGATGGACAAAGGAGAGGCGGGAGGAAGGAGTGGGGAGAGGCATAAGAGGGCCTGCTTGGCGCCGTTAGTCATCACCACTTCCTCTGGCGAGTAGGTCAGTCCGTTCTCAGCTGTGGGGAGGGAGGGGAAGGGAAAGAAAGGAGGAGAGGAAGGAAGGATCACAGAGGAATGAGGTGCCGTTGATCACCACCATGTCGTCCGGGGAGTTGGTCAACCCATTTTTCCACAATGGGCCACGCAGCAGCTCTATTTTTGAGGCGCGTAAAAAATAGGCCACGCAACAACTCACTCTTGATCTTCTCACAGATGGTCGCTTGTAGCTCCAAGGTACCCTGGTTGGGCACCGACCCACGGTTTGATTCAATTTCACCATCAGTGCCCCGCCCCCTGCCCCACCCTCAGCCCATTCTGTTCACTTTAACCACCAATGAGCCATGCCACCACTCACTCTTGAGCTTCTCGTAAATGGCCGCTCTGAGCCCCAAAGTGCCCTGGTTGGGCACCCACCCACCATGGTGTGAGTACCCATGGTTGGCTTGGCTACACACTCACACAAGCAACCACTGGTCACCGTCACACGCCCGCGACTCACTCTTGAGCTTCTCGCAAATCGCCGCTCGGAGCTCCAGAGTGCCCTGGTTGGGCGCATAGCGAGTAAAGCCCTGCCGCAGAGCCGCCACTCCTGCCTGGTGAAGGGGGGTTGGGGGGGGGAGAGGGGGGAGAGTTATATGGTGAATGGCGGGTCGGGAGAGGGATGGCTATCCTGGTTGGGCGCGTAGCGTGTGAAGCCCTGCCTCAAAGCCTCCACTCCTGCCTGGTGAAGGGGGGTTGGGTAGGTTGTGGAAGTGGAGGGATGGGGCGTGGGGGTAGGGAAGGGCTATCCTGGTTGGGAGCGTAGCTGTGTGAAGCCCTGCCGCAGAGCCTCCACTTTCGCCTGGTGAAAGGGGGGGGGCGTGGATGGGATGGTTGTGAGTGCAGTGCAGTGGGTGTGATTGCAGTGGGTGTGATTGCAGTGGGTGTGATTGCAGTGGGTGTGATTGCAGTGGGTGTGATTGCAGTGGGTGTGATTGCAGTGGGTGTGATTGCAGTGGGTGTGATTGCAGTGGGTGTGAGTGCAGTGGGTGTGATTGCAGTGGGTGTGAGTGCAGTGGGTGTGAGTGCAGTGGGTGTGAGTGCAGCGAATGGTTGGGCGCATAGCGTGTGAAGCCCTGCCTCAGAGCCGCCACTCCTGCCTGGTGAATCAGGTGGGTAAAGGAAGGGGTTGCAGCAGTATGGTAAATGAAGTGTTGGGGGGGGGAATGGCTATGCTGATTGGGCAAGTAGCGTGTGAAGCCCTGCCGCAGAGCCGCCACTCCTGCCTGGTGAATGGAGGTGGAGGGGGAGAGGAGGGGAGGGGAGGGTGGGTGTGTGTAGTAGTGGACGGGATGAAGTATGGGGGAGGAGGGAATGATAATCCTGGTTGGGAGCGTATCGTGTGAAGCCCTGCCTCAGAGCCGCCACTCCTGCCTGGTGAAGGAGGGGGGGAAAGGGGGGAGAGGAAGGGAGGAGAGGGTGGGTGTGTGCTGTAGTGGGGAAATGAAGTGCGAAGGAGGGAATGATAATCCTGGTTGGGCGTATAGCTGTGTGAAGCCCTGCCGCAGAGCCGCCACTCCTGCCTGGAGGGTGGGTGCAGTGCGTGTGATTGTAGCGGGGGGGGGGGGGGTAAGTATCGCACCAATGAGAATGGAGAGAGAAGTGAAGGATGGAGATAGAAACGATTCCTTGCTTCCCCCTCCCTTTCTCCCATTTCCCTTACTCCCGTTCCCCTCACTCCCCGTTCCCCTCTCTCCTGTTCCCCTCACTCCCATTCCCTCACTCCCATTCCCTCACTCCCGTTCCCTCACTCCCGTTCCCCCTACTCCCGTTCCCCCTACTCCCGTTCCCCCTACTCCCGTTCCCCCTACTCCCGTTCCCCCTACTCCCGTTCCCCCTACTCCCGTTCCCCCTACTCCCGTTCCCCCTACTCCCGTTCCCCCTACTCCCGTTCCCCCTACTCCCGTTCCCCCTACTCCCGTTCTCCTTACTCCCGTCCCCCCTACTCCTGACCCCCTACTCCCGTTCCCCCTACTCCCCTTCCCCTTATTCCCGTTCTCCTTAATCCCGTTCCCTTACCCCCATTCCCCCTACTCCCCTTCCCCTTATTCCCGTTCTCCTTAATCCCGTTCCCTTACCCCCATTCCCCTTACTCCCTAGTCCCGCTCCCCGTATTTCCGTTCCCCTCACTCCCAATCCCCTCAGTCCCCTTCCTTGCTCCTGTTCCTCTTACTACCATTCCTCTTAAATCCAGTTTTTCTTACTCCCCTTCCCCATACTCCCCTTCCCTTCAGTCCCCTTTCCCTTACTTCCGTTCCCCTTATTCCTGTTCCCTTTACTCCCGTTCCCCTTCCCGTTTCCCTTACTCCTTTTACCCTGACTCCCCTTCCCCTTACTCCGATTCCCTCACTCCCATTATCCCTGCTCGCATTCCCCGCACTCCCATTCCCGACACTCCCATCCCCCTCACTCCCACTCTCCGTGTTCCCATTCCCTTCCCTCGCTCACCCCATCCGCCTCTCCTCCCTCACGCACCTCGACAATCTCCTTGGGCGTGTCGAAATCCGGCTCCCCCGCGGCCAGCTCGATCAGCGGAACGCCTTGAGCCTTGAGCGCGCGCGCCGCGTCCGTCAGTTGCGCCGTGCGCGACGCCGCAAGCCCCGCCACCACCGGGTTCAGCGCCGTCAGCGCACTCTCCCCCCCTCCGCCCGCGCTCGCGCCTGCACCCGCACTCGCGCTCGCGCCCGCGTCCGCGCCAGCGGTGGAAGCCGCGGAGGCGGAAGCGGCTGCTGCTGGAGTCGCGCCTGCGCGCGCTGGCGCGGGGTGCTCCTGCTGCAGCTGCGCGGGAATTCCCGCGGAGGGGAGGGCGGAGACTCCGCCGACGTTCATGACAGCGGAGCTTCGATGCGCTGCCTGGCGCGGAGGGGCTGGAAAAGGGCGCGCGCTCGCAGCCACGAGCGCGGATTGGCGTAATTTCTCCGGAAGGAAGGGGGACGAGCAGGGAGGGGGCCGAAGGAGAGGGGAAGGGAGAGAGAGGAGGGGGGAGCGATGAAATGTGGTGTAACGCATCCCTACCTGGCAATTGAGCTACAGCGATTAACTCGCTACGTAGGGCGATTAAGCTACAGCGATTAACTCGCTACGTAGAGCGATTAAGCTACAGCGATTAACTCGCTACGTAGGGCGATTAAGCTACAGCGTTTAACTCGCTATGTATGGCGATCAAACTAAAGCGTTTGACGGAATAAAGAGCCACTAGCTAGCAAGTGGTGGATAATTTGTGGTGGACAACTTCCGTGGTCAACCACCCCCGCAAAAACACATGCGGTTGAAATCAGCCGAACCTCAGCCGAGCCTCCTTCATGTTGGTTGGTTGGGATTCCAACCACTTCACTCACATTGGTTGGTTGGAATTCCAGCCTCCACATTGGTTGGTTCCAACGACCAAATCCGCTTTACGACCGACATCACTGCACTGTACGAACACTAGCAAAAGGCAGTCTGGATGCGGTACAATGAGGCTTGATACGATCTAGAACGTTCTGTTGTTAACTTAGAATGGTTGTGTAGGGTACTTAACTTTACGCACTTGTACGACCCAACCTAATGGGGATTAGGGTGAACCTTCGGCTGAAAGAGGCTGAGAAGTGTGCCGAAAGGTGCGAGAGAGACTCGAGTTTGGTTTGGGACTCGAATTTCGGAATCCACAAATACGTGGCAGCGCGTCACAGCGACTACCAGGTCTGCAGTGTCGGCCACCTCGTTCGCCTCCTGCACTGGGTTTACGACAGCGTTCCCAGCTTTTACGGGGAGCACTACGTCAGGTCATTGAATTTCGCGGATCCGAAAGGGTGGTACGACGTGTACGTCTTCTTCTCGTACAACGGCGGAAACAAGGTGCCCGTGCCACACACGACATACAACGACTGGGTTCTACACGGATACGACATGGGCGACATCCAGATTTCGCGCTTGACTTGGACCTCGCGCGTCCAATACGCAGCTGCTGTCCATGGCGGGTGTGGCCGACGACCAGATCGGGATGCACGTAAACTGGAGAACCGATGCCCTCACGACGCATTACCTCCCCGGTGTTGCGCGTGAAGCAGTCTTGGTGACCTCCGGGCACACGGGTCTGCCCGGGGATTATCACCTCGGTCGTTCGAAGGTCGAGCCACCGCCCAGGGCGCAAGAGGCCATCAACTGCCACGTCTTCCGGTTTGCCGAAAAGCAGCTGGAACTGGTGAGCTCGCGTTGAACCGCGAAATCTACCTTCACAATTACAGATTGTTATGCCTCACGACCTCGGAACATTTTTCGTGCAGGCACAGCTGTACAACTCCACGAAGCAGAGGCACGAGCTTGACATGGCCTCCATACATCTTCTTAAGGCGTTTGCCGGCACCTGAACGTTCAGCATCCCAACCATCCGGAAGTCTGTGCGTCTCCGTTGTGCAAGGACCGCGATTTCCTCGAATGGGCGCGGGGGGTTGTGTGGAGCGACGACGTCGGGAGGGCCATGCGAAACTCCCCTACGCTCACACGCGGAGCTGTGCGTAACGCCAAGCAAAAAAATCGCTCCTTTTCGCAACCTCCATCTGTTTAACGATCTTCGTGCCTGTGAGGATCGAGGATCGAGTTCAGAATCGAGAATGAGAATTGATTGATCACCTGGGTACAACACGAGGCTATATATAGGGCTCGACACAAGGGAGGTAACCAGGTGTTACGAGAAGGTTCTGCGGGTCGCGAAGCGTCCCGAACAGACCCTTCCCGAATTCGGTAGAAGGCAATTCGGTGGCAACCGAATAGCTCCGAATTCGGTGTAACCTAGCATGGTGCCTATAACTATATATAATATATAGGAAAGCACCTAGCCTAGGAATCAAACAATTCATGCATGCAGAAATTAAACCTAAGCTAGCAGTAGCGTAAGGTAATAAAAGCAAGCATGAATAACAAGCATAAGCCGTCGTACTCTCACACGTCCCCCCCTCAAAGCTGGGTGGCGTGAGATACACCCTGCTTGACAAGATAGTCCTTGAGAGCACGACGTGCGTTGCCCATATCAGCTTCTGCAACCCAACTGTCCTCAGTGGGGTCATATCCCCTCCAGCGTATCAGGAACTCGAGGGTCTTGCCGCCGCGGCGCCGATGAGTGAGAACGCGCTCGATCTCGTACTCGGGTTCATCCTGCACAAGAACAGGTGGTGGTGGCGGTAGCTGCCGTCCCTGGAATTGTTGGTTGGGGTCCTTGTAGGGCTTCAGTAGCTGAACATGGAAAGCGTTGTGAAGCTTCTATGTAGTTGGTAAGCGCAAGCGGAATGTAACTGGTGTCACCTGTGCCTCCACGAGAAATGGACCACAGAAGCGAGGCCGGAGTTTGGATGGTAGATGAGAAAGGTTCAAGTTGCGCGTGTCAAGAAGCACCTGATCTCCGACTGCTACTAAGTGATCTCGTCGCTGACGATCGGCATACTGCTTCTGGGAGTTCTGCATCGTGGTGAGACGTCGCTGAGTCTTCTCCCATAGCTGCTGCATGGTGGTGACGAAGTCGTGTGCGGCTTGGACGTGTGCCGGTGTGGTTGGCTGCTGTGGGGTGAGTGGTTCCCGTCCGTAACACAGGAAGAAAGGCGCTGTGGCCGCATGCGAGGCGCTGTTGTAAGCAAACTCCAAGGTCGGTAACTGTGTGTCCCAGTGGTTGATGTCGTCTTTGCAAGCTGTGCGCAGTAACTGTTCAACCACCTGATTGAGTCGCTCTGTCTGTCCGTCAGTCTGGGGATGGTATGCTGAAGACATTGCAAGCTTAGTCCCCAACAATCCCATGAGCTCCTTCCAGAACTTACTCGTGAATTTTGGGTCTCTGTCTGAGATGAGTGTAGCGGGGATGCCGTGGATGGTGATGATGCGGTCGAAGAAGAGTCGAGCAGTTGCTTCAGCTGTAGCTGTGGCGTTGGTCGGTATAAAGTGACCCATTTTGGAGAACTTGTCGATGACTACGAGGACAGAATCGTGTCCCCGTGAAGTTGAGGGAAGTCCTGTGATGAAGTCGAGACTAACGACCTGCCATGGCTGCTCCGGTACGGGTAGAGGTTGAAGTAACCCTGCTTTCTTCTGCTTGCTACTCTTCATCCACTGGCACGTGTCGCAGGAGGTGACGAACTGCTGCACGTCTGCTGCCATCCGAGGCCAGTAGTAATACTTCGCTATTCCCGCTAACGTCTTGTTACTCCCGAAATGTCCCGCGTATGGTACGTCGTGAAACTCCTCCAATAGGATTTGCCGTAGCGGGGCGTAATTCGGTACCCAAATCTTTCCTGAACCCTTCCTTACTGCTAAGTCTTTCTCCCACTGTAACAGCTTCTGCTTCTCTGCCGTAGCAATTTCGCCGTCCACGGAGTACCCATGTTGGAATAGTTCTTGAGAAGAGGGTTCATCCCGTCGAGCTGGATGCCTGCTACGTGACCGGGGCGGCTCAACGCGTCTGCCTTGTTGTGTAGCCCGGGTTTGTAGATGATGTCGTAGTGGAAGTGGGTCTCCAAGAAATCCACCCACCGCACCTGTCGTCGTGAGAGCGTTGGCTGCGACTTCAGGTATTTAAGGCTGCAGTGGTCTGTATAGACTGTGGTCTTGGCTCCCTCTAGGTAACACCTCCACGCCTTGAAGGCTACGACTATAGCTAAGGCTTCCTTGTCGTGGATTGGGTAATTCAGTTCTGCTCCGTGTAGTTTCTTACTGAGGTAGGCGATAGGCTGTAAACCGTTCCCGTGATCCTGCATCAGTACTGCTCCGACTGCCTGGTCACTAGCGTCTGCTTCAACTACGTAGTCCTTGTCGGGGTCCGGTAGGATGAGTACTGGCGCTGTGGTCAGTGCTGTTTGTAGCTGTTCCATGGCTTGCTGATGAGGAGCACCCCATTTGAAGGGCGTGTCCTTTTTCAGTAGGTCGGTCAGTGGCGCTGCTATCTTAGCGTACTGTGGCACGAACCTGTTGTAGTAGTTGGCGAAGCCGAGGAACTGCTGCAACTCCTTCACGTTCTCTGGAACTTTCCACTTTTTAACGGCTTCGATTTTCCGCGGGTCCACGTGTACGCCCTTGGCACTCACCATGTGCCCGAGAAACTGCACCTTCTCCAGTGCGAAGTCGCTCTTTGACAGCTTCACGTAGAACTTGTTCTTCCGCAGGATTTCGAACACCTTCCGCAGATGCTCCACGTGCTCCTTCATGTTCTTGGAGTAGATGAGAATGTCGTCCAGGTACACCACTACGCACTCGTCCAGCAGGGGCCGTAGGATGTGGTTCATCTCCGCCTGGAACGTTGCAGAGTCCGAACGGCATCACCAGGTATTCGTAGGAGCCGTATCACGTACGGAATGCCGTCTTGTGGATTGAGTTGTCCGCCATCTTGATCTGCCAGTAACCTGACCGTAGGTCCAGCTTCGAGAAGACCGTTGCACCACGCAGTTGGTCCAGTAAGTCGTCGATGCGCGGTATGGGGTATTTGTTTTTGACTGTCTGTTTGTTCAGTGCGCGGTAGTCGATGCACATCCGTAAACTGCCGTCTGGTTTCGGTGTGAAGAGAACTGGTGCGCCGTAGGGAGAGGTGGATGGTCGGATCAGTTGTCTGTCCAGTAGATACTCGATCTGTTTTTTCATGTCTGTCAGCTCGGTCGGACTCAGTCTGTAAGGTGCACGTGAGACGGGTTTCGCACCTGGTTCCTCCACGATCTCGTGCTCGTGGGTGCGTGCAGGAGGTACGCCTGCAGGTAGGTCGTCGGGCATGATGTCTTTGTACTGCTCCAAGACCTTTTTCACTGCTGCGGGTAGCTCGGAACCCGGTTTCACCTCTTCTGCTGCTGCCATGACCAGTGCTAAGTAACCCGTGTTGCTCTCGTTCACCGTCTGTTCGAACCGTGCCAGTGTCATTTCAGGAATGTCCCCTGTATCCGTCCAGCTTCGTAGTGCTATCCGCTTCCCGTTGTTGTAGATGCACACTTTGCTGTTGACCCAGTCGATCTCAGGGTTGAACCGCTTCAGGAAATCTCGCCCCAAGATGAAATCTAACCCTTTGATGTTGGTAACAGGTAGCTTCGGCTTCCATCTCAACGCACCTATGTGCAGCTGCAAGGTTGCTTCGCCGTGGATGGGAAGCTTCGTACCGTCCACCATGGTTGCTGAGAACTGGGTCTCCTCCGCCTTCTCTCCAATTTTCTCCAATGTCTCGCGGTCGCACACCGAGTGAGATGCACCGCTGTCCACCAGTGCCTGGAGGCGTCGCCCATTGCATAACACCTCGAGGAGTAGTGGTTTCTGCTGCGCTGAGTAGCCAAAGAGGGTCTCATTAATAGGATCATAGGGTACATCAAAATGAATACCTTCCCTATTTCCTATACCTGACTCAGCACTTTCTGACTTCACCTGAGGGGTAGGAGGATTTTTCCGAGGCTTGTATAATTTCTCCTGAGCCTGGATGTCTCCTCTAAGCCTTTGCAGCTGTGTAGGCTTCACCTGTGGGCAACGGGGAGCCTTAACACCATGCTGCGGGGAGAGAATATTAACACCACGGAACGCACGACCCTTTTCTACGCTCCGTAATACTTTGCCCATATTTGCAGGTACCTGAATAATTTCTAAAGGCTTTTTCTTGGCCTCTAACTCTCCCCTGAATTTTTCAAAGGCTTGAAAACCACGAGAAGCAATATTTTTCGTTAGAGTATCTTTATAGGATACTTTTAACGAATTCTTACTTTCGTGGGGGTCCGGCTGGAGTTTCCCGGTCGGTGCAGAGTCTTTTTTCGCGGAGCCACCAGTTGCCTCGGCGATTTCCCCTGATGCCGGCCGGTCGTGACGTTTTAGATTCGCGCCATCATTTTCTCCTTTTTTCGCCCGCTCCGAAGTCGCCACGTCGTCGCCCTTTTTCGCTTTTCGGATCTTTACGCGATCGCCAGGTCGATCCGCGGCTACTGGCGATTCCCGTTTTTTTACTTCGGGGGTGCTGCACTGTTACCGCCCTGCATGATCGCACGTACTTTCTTCATTTTGTAGCACGACAAAATCTGATGCCCTGCTGCGCCGCAAAATTCGTATTTGACCGGCTGTTGCTTCGCGTCGATTTTGTCGATATCCATCGGTTCGGCGAACGTGGGGGGTGCCGATCGCTCCGTGCCGAATGTACGGTTCAGCCCGAAACGTCGTGTTTCGGGTTGACCTCGGGTCAGCGCGTCGTAACGCTCGGCTGCACGCACGATGTCCCTGTAGCTGTCGTAATTCATCGCGATCACCTGCCGCCGAATCTCCAATTTTAACCCTTCCGTGTACGCCTGGATTTTTTCGCCTTCGGTCAGGTCGGAGATACGGGTGAACAGGAGCTCCATCTGCTGCGTGTACTGCGCTACACTACTGTACTGCTTGTGCCGATGAATTTGTTGCCGCGCCATGTAGGTGGTATTAATTGGTTCGAAACGCCCGATTAATTCTGCCCGAAACTGCGCCCACGTTTTCTCCCCGCGGGCCACGTCAGTATTGTAGATCCACTCGAGTGCTGGTCCGCGTAACAGTGTCGCTGCGAGCCGGATTCGTGTCGCGTCGTGTGTCGTTGTCGAACAGCCAATGGCCTCGAAGTAAATTTCGAGGATTGCCACGAAACGCCGGACGTCGGATCCCTTCGCGCTTGGATCGAACGCCTCCGGGAGCCTCGGTCGTGCTGCTTCAAGGTTCGGCGTCGGTGGTGCCATCGGTCCGTGAAAAGTCGGTGTCGCCACTGCTGCTGGAGTTGTCGGTGCTGCAGTCGTTGCAGTCGCTGCTGCTGTCGTGGCGAGCGCCGGATGGCTTGTCAGAAAAGCCTCGAGTCGACGAAGCGTCGCCTGCGTCTGCTCCATGTCGGTGCGGAGGCTCGCGACGTCGCTCGTTGTCGCGTAGTTGTCGCCCTGGCCTTCCATGCCTGACATTACGCGTCCGAAAAACCGAATCGAGGAGGAGCGGAAAAACACGGAACCGGTTTTACGTACCCGAAATCGATGTTTAACTGCGTCGCCCCCGCGGTTTTTTGAAGACTGGTCTTTCGCGGTCGAAAGAACTTCGCGTGTAAACGAGCTCTGATTACCAAGTGTGAGGATCGAGGATCGAGTTCAGAATCGAGAATGAGAATTGATTGATCACCTGGGTACAACACGAGGCTATATATAGGGCTCGACACAAGGGAGGTAACCAGGTGTTACGAGAAGGTTCTGCGGGTCGCGAAGCGTCCCGAACAGACCCTTCCCGAATTCGGTAGAAAGCAGTTCGGTGGCAACCGAATAGCTCCGAATTCGGTGTAACCTAGCATGGTGCCTATAACTATATATAATATATAGGAAAGCACCTAGCCTAGGAATCAAACAATTCATGCATGCAGAAATTAAACCTAAGCTAGCAGTAGCGTAAGGTAATAAAAGCAAGCATGAATAACAAGCATAAGCCGTCGTACTCTCACAGTGCCTCTTTCATTGCTGGAAGTGGCCCGACGCTGCCACGCGGAACACCGCAACGTGGTCCTCACCACGATGCTGAACAAAGAGAGGGACGCGAGCAGGCAAAAGTCGGTCGAAAACGAAGCACTGAAGCACAAGAATGGCCTGCTGGAGCAACAGGTGGAGGAATTGACCCGTAGGCTGGCGGCGGCCTCTACGGGATCGCCAGCCCCACAGGTGGAAGAGACCCCGGACTCGCCCCCACCACCACCTCCCACGCTATCCGACATGGACAAGGCTTTCAAAAAGGAAATGCTCGCGCCATAGCTGAAGGCGAGCACTACTCTGCAGGCATGCGAAAAATGGAACGCGTGCCACGGTCTCACAGGCCTGACTGTTCGTGGCGAGATGGCCGCGGGTGGGTTCGCGAAAAAATACATGCTTGCGGGGTCAGAGGATTCGGCAATGCAACGGCAAAAGCGCCTCATGGTCGCCGTCACCGATTACGCGGCGAGATACGCCGGTGGGGAGGCCGCAGTGGTGGCTAAATTCGATGAGATCGCGGGGCCCATGGGGTTCACCACCTTCCGCGACGGGCTGACTGTACGCGGCACCAAACCCATCAACGACTCCTACGACAAACTGAAGGCGCTGAAAGGAGCCGTGGGCGAGAAAGTAAAGGTGGCGCTGGCGCTCGTGGCTGAAGGCTTTGAGAACGTGGATTGGGGGCGAAAGCCGTTCCCAAAGAGCTGGGATGCCTTGTTCGGCTCCAGGAAACGACCGCGTGTTGAATAGTTTCGCGCTGCCGATCTACCGCGATGTCCATTGTGCTTGTCCAATCCACTGGATGTCAGAAATAACTGAGCAGGAATGGGATGAACTAGCACAGAGTTTGGTACAAGTAGGAAACCCTAACTTTGAGTACCCCCTAAGGTGTAACCCACTACAGCCTACATAATATAAACATGCAATGTTTGACACACCCCCATAGGCGCAGTGGGAGACAACCACAGGCTCACAAGACCAGTCAAAGCAAAGCAAAGCAAGCTCAGGGTGGATCTCAAGGATTCCACACAAATTCCGAGCACAAGCAAGCGGTCACAAGACCAGTTCACATGCAGGTTTATAACAAAGCAAGAGATACAGTGATCACAACCTAGCAAAAATAAACAAGTAGGCATATATATATAGTGATCACAGTACAAGCAAGGTCAAGAGGTAAGCAAGTGAGGCCCAGTGGGTACAAGGCCTAGCAGAGTGCAAAAGCGCTGATGGTCACAAGGCTGAAGCGCCTTGGTGAACACATCAGCAGTGTTGGCCTCCGTGGCCACGTAACGCAGACAAAGCTGACCACGCTGCTGCAGCTCTCGAGCAAGGAAGTACCGCAGAGCGATGTGCTTCGTTCTGTGCTCCAGTCTGTGCTCCTCACACAAGGCAATGGCAGCCTTGTTGTCGACGTACAGCACTGGAGGAGAACGAGGCCGCTCTCCGAGGTCGGTCAGCAGGTAGGTCAGCCAGCGTAGCTCCTGAGCAGCCATGGCTGTGGCGTAGATCTCAGCCTCACAACTGGAGCTGAGAACAGAAGAAGAGCGAGTAGAACGCCAAGAAACTGAGCCAGAGCCAAGGCTGAAGGTGTAACCCTGGGACGACCGCTGAGTAGCCTGGTCGTCTGCCCAAGAAGCGTCTGAGTGCCCTGTGAGAACAACCCGGTCTCGCCCTCCAAGCACAAGCCCCATGCCCGACGTACTGCACAAGTAGCGCAACACCCTCTTAGCAGCATCCATGTGCTCCTTCCGGTGACGGCCAGGAGCGACATAGCGTGCTAGGATGCTAAGAGGGTATGCAAGGTCAGGTCGAGTGCAGGTCATCAGGTACATGAGGCAGCCCACAAGCTCTGGATACGGGCCACTCGGCTCTACGGACTCATCCGAAGGCAGAGCTGAGAGCGAGTGACCGGTAGGCAGAGGAGTGGACTGAGGCGAGGAGTACGTGAAGCGGAAGCGCTGGAGAACCTGCTGCACCATGTGTGACTGAGTCAGGGTGATGGTGCGCCGTGCTCTGTCCCGGGTGATCCGCAAGCCAAGATAGCTCGTCAGCTCACCCAGGTCTGTGCACGTGTGTCTCCTCTGCAGCTCCGACTTCACGTGAGCGAGTGCCGCGGTGTCAGCAGTGGCAAAGACCAAGTCGTCGACGTACACGAGGATGTAGAACGGCGGCAGCGAGGTGTCGGTGCGTAGAAACAGCGACGGGTCAGCAGTAGAGGGAGCGAACCCAAGAGCCGCAAGTGTCGTCCTCAGTGTGTCGTGCCACTCACGTGGCGCCTGGCGGAGACCGTAGACCAGCCGCTGAAGCCTCCACTGGGTGCCAGGAGGAACTGACCCAGTGAAGCCAGGGGGGCGGCGCAGCCAGATCTCCTCGTGCAGGCTGCCCTGCAAGAAAGCAGTGCTGAAGTCAAGAGAGTGAAGCTCGTAGTCGCGCTGAGCGGCTATGTGCAGCAGCACCCGAAGAGTAGTCATCTTCGGGGTGGGGGAGAAGGTCTGAAAGAAGTCTACTCCCTCTCGCTGACTGAAGCCTCGAGCCACGTAGCGCGCCTTGAAGACAGGTGGAGAACCCGGCGGCCGCTTCACCCTGAAAATCCACATGCCACTGACGATGTTCGCCCCAGGAGGGGGAACCTCGTCTACGTAGGTGCCTGTGGACTTCCAGGAGGCCATCTCTGCGTCCATGGCTGTCTGCCACTGAGAGGAGTAGGGACCCGCCATCGCCTCAGCGTAAGAGCGTGGGGTCGGGATGTCTGGTGCATCCGGGTCTCCCTCAGGGGCAACTAGCAAGGACACGAGACGGGGCAAAGCAGCAGCAAGGCAGTGGAACTCCTCCTGTCTGTCCTCAAGGACGTCCGTGCCGAGGGCACACTCACCCCCGACGGACGGAGGACAGGCAGACGCAGACTCAGACCTAGCGACAAGGCTGGCAGCGTAGTCTAGGCGACAGCGAGCAGCAAAGTCAACCAACTCAGCGACCAGAGCAGACGCAGCAGAGGACTCAAAGGTCGGGTCAGTGACAACTGTAGCGAGGAGACGCGTAACAGTGGGACTGGCAGCACGACGGGAGTCAGACTCCGGGTCAGGAAGAGTAGGAAGAGAGGACGCAGGAGGAGACGGCAGCGGGACACGCTGCGGAGCAGTGGAGGGACGCAGAGTCATGTAGTGAGTGCCAGGGACAGGAGGAGGACGCTCACGTGGGACACGACGACCAGTGCGAGCAGTACGAACAGGCGACGCAGGACGGGACTCAGGCTCACGACGCTCTGTAAGACCTCCTGTGGGACCAGCGTAAGGGGAGGGAGCAGGGAGAGGCGAGGCAGGCGGTAACTGTGACTGCGGCTGGACAGGCAGAGGACACTCGACGGAGGAAGGAGGACAAGGAGGAGGAGCCTGACCAAGAACCTGCTGAAGGAGCGGTACGAAGTACGGTCGCGGCCGCGCAGCGTCTCTAGAAGCAGAAGGGACTCCAGCGGCAGCCCCAACGCCCGAGTCCTCAGTACCAGCAGCAGCTCCAACGCCCGGGTCCTCAGCACCAGCAGCAGCACCACCGGTCGGGTCCTCAGCACCAGCAGCAGCTCCAACGCCCGGGTCCTCAGCACCAGCAGCACGGCCACTGGTCAGGTCCTCAGCACCAGCAGCAGCGCCACCGGTCGGGTCCTTTGCACCAGCAGCAGCTCCAACGCCCGGGTCCTCAGCACCAGCAGCAGCTCCAGCCCCCGGGTCCTCAGCACCAGCAGCAGCTCCAGCGTCCGGGTCCTCAGCACCAGCAACAACACCACCGCTCGGGTCCGCAGCACCAGGAGCACCACTACGAAGACTGCAGCGCCGCGTGTACCACTCGCGGATCACCTGAATGGGGGGGAGCTCCTGGGTAGGAGGGGAAGTACCGGGACGAGCTCCAGAAGCACCTCTCCGGAGGCGGCAGTACTCGAGGTACCTCTCCTGCAGCTGCTGGGAGGAGAGGGCTCCTCCAGGTGGAGCACGCTCAGGCTCAGCACCCCCAGACTCAGCACCCCCAGACTCAGCACCCCCAGTCTCAGCACGTCCAGGCTCAGCACCCCCAGGCTCAGTACCTCCAGGCTCCGCACCTCCAGGCTCCGCACCTCCAGGCTCCGCACCTCCAGGCTCAGCACCCCCAGGCTCCGCACCTCCAGGCTCAGCACCCCCAGGCTCCGCACCCTCAGACGCAGCACTCCCAGGCTCAGCACCCCCAGACGCAGGACGCGAGTCAACAGCTACCTCGACAGGCTCACCCGGGTCTACCTGGGACACACCTGAGGGAGCGGCACCCTGAGGGGGGAGGGGGTCTGGTACCTCAGCACCTGGAGCGAGGAAGAGAGGCGGGGGGGGGAGCGGGGCAGTGCGGTAGGGGAAGAGGCGGTAGAAGGGGACGGACTCGTCAAAAGTGACGTCCTGAGAGGCCAGAACCCGGCGCGAGGTGACGTGGTAAAACTGCCATCCAGGCGCGTCGGGAACAAAGCCAAGAAAGACACAGGGAACAGCGCGACGCGAGAGCTTGTCCGCGGACGTGTCGCGGACAAAAGCTCGAGATCCCCAGACCCGGAAACGCGACGCATCACCAACCTCTCCCGTCCACCGTAGAGTCGGGGAAGTCTCCGGCAAGGAGACACGGGGCCAGAGGTTGAGCTGATGCGCTGCGTACCGGACCGCAAACGGCCACAGAAAGTGGGGAGCAGCCGCATGGGTCAGGGAGGTACGAGCGACCTCCATGACCAAGCCAATGCGGCGCTCAGCGACCCCATTCTGCTGTGGAGAGGCCGGAAGCGTGTACGACTGCTCAATGCCGTGCTCAGCACAGTAGGCTGCCAAGAGGTCGGAGGCAAACTCACCACCTCTGTCAGAGTGCAAGCGCAGGACAGGAAAGTCCGAGTGAAAGCGCTCGCCTAGCTGGAGACGGGCTCGGCTGATCCAGGGGATCAAAACACCAGGGACGTCACCCTTGGCGCGCAAGGGGAAGACCGTGGTGTAGCGCGAGTAGTCGTCAACAACTATCAGGAAGTATCTCTCCTGACCCTGACCACGGACGCGGGCTGGGCCCCACACGTCCATGTGGAGCGTCTGCAGGGGAGCGGTCGTCGGGGGAAAGGAGGAGGAGTGAGGAGCGGCGCGCTGCCGCCCCTCGACACAGGGAATGCAGTCAGGAGCAGGGGAGTCAGGAAGGGGAGGGAGCACCCTGGGAAGACCAGCAACAAGGTCCCGTTTGTGCATGGCCCGCAGGCGCTGCACAGACAGGTGACCAAGGCGGTGGTGCCAGAGGACGGTGTCGTTCGCCAGAGAGCGACACGAGCAGGGGGCGGACAGCTGACCTGACGCTGACGCAGACGCAGCTACCTGAGGGGACTCAGTGGTCAGTGTGTACAGGTCAGACCCCGGCTCTCGAGTGAAAGTAGCTAGGTGGCGGCCCGTCCGAGCACACGTGCAGTGAGTCACACGCTCGTAGGCAGGGGTGAACTGGTGAACACCCCCGTCCTGGAGCGCACTACCTGCCACCAAGTTCGTGGAGAACGAGGGGAGGTAGAGACCTGAGAGCGTGCCGGACGGAACCGCTGGACACGGAAGGGTGGTGGAGGAGGTCGCAAGGACCGGACCCCCAGAGGGGTCAGCAAGAGAGACAGCAACCGGCCGAGCTAGAGGCTCAAGGACAGTGCGGTCACGAAAGAAAGAGCGAGAAGCACCTGAGTCCAGTGTGAAGGTGTGCAGTGCTGCAGTCGACTCAGTACCAGGGGGCACAGACGCACAAGCACCTAGAGCAGCAGCTGCAGTAGTACCTGTGGAAGCAGACACACTAGCACCTAGAGCAGCAGCGGGGCTGGCCTGAATGCCCGGGTCGGGCGGAACACGCAAGTACTGAGCACCCTCTCCACTAATAGACATCGCATACATGGCAGTGAGAATAGCATCAAAGTCTAGTGCCCAAATATCAACACCCTTCCTGAGCAGCTCAGCCCAGCGCGGCAGCTCACCCCCACCAGGAAACTGGGTGCGCCACGCATCGTTGAGGCGGGCGAAGCAGCGCTCCGTCTGGTGCGGCCCCCCACACGTCTGGCCAGTGCGGTCACCTGTACGAATAACGTACTGGCAGGTGACGCTGCGCCGCGCATACCACTCACGGGCGGCCTGAAGGGTCGGGGCAGGCTGCTGACTCTGACCGCCCCCCGGGCCTCCACGACCACCACCCCCTCCGCCTCCGCCCCGGCCACCTCCACCCCTGCCGCTGCCACGACCACCTCCGCCTCCGCTGCCACCTCCGCCCCTGTCACCACTCCCAACGCCGCTGTCACCTCCACCACTGCCGCCACTAGCCTCTCCAGTCGCACCTCCACCGCCACCACCTCCACCCCCGCCTCCTCCGCCACCACCCCCACTCCTGCCACTCCTGCCCCTGCGTCGTCCGCCTGAAGCAGACGCAGCCCCGACCTTCTCAGCACCAAGGAGGTCGACAGCAGCAGCAGAGGCGACAGAGGGGAGGAGGGGGGAAGGGGAGCACCCCTCAAAGAAGGGGCCGCGGGGGTCGCCACGAGAGGTGCCTACAGCGACGATACTAGCCTCGGCTGCAAGCAGTTCCTTCTCGAGGAGGTCTACGGTGAGCTCAGTGGGGGAGCGAGAGAGGAACTGGTCCCTGACAGGGCGCAGAGAGTCAGGGAGGCGGGTGACAACGTGGTAGAGAGTGATCCAGAGCGGGGGGGGGTTGCTAGCAAGGAACTCGTCAGGCATGGCAGCGCGAAAGCGAGCCTCACTAGTCTTAAGGTGGGTGATGAGGTCTGCGACAGTGTGAAAGGAGGCTAGGTCGGGGAACAGGTAGGGGAGAGTGAGGCGGCCTAGCGTGGCAGAAGCGGGTGAGGAGTAGCGGGCCACTACAGCTGTGTAGAGGTCCTTAGCAGTCTTGCACTGGCCGAAGTGCTCGCGCTCATCTAGCGGCAGGGAGTTGCGAATAGCAAAGCGAGCGTGCGCGTCACGGGTCTGCCACTGTGAGCGCTCAGCTGGGGGGGCAGTAGCGAGTGGGGCGGTCGCATGGCCGAGAGCGTGGTCGTACAGTGTAATATCTTCCTTGGCAGTGAGCTGTAGGAAAAGGTGCAGGTCATCTAGCCAGGTTTCGAATTTGACCGGACGGCCCTCGGCGTCGAAAGCTAGAACAGGAGGACTAGCCATAGCGACAGCGGCAGTAGTAGAAGCAGTAAAGTCACTGAAAAGGCGTGCGCAGGGTCAGCGGGGCCGGTGGGGCCTACGGACTGTAGTGGCGCACAAGCAGCAGTAGCAGGAAGTGTAGTAGTAGGATCTGCAGTGGTGCACAGGCGCAGCAGGCGGCAGCGAGAGCCGGCGCTCCAGGGGCGGGCTCAGCAGCGGTGATACGCGGGCGGCGGCGGGCGCAGCAGCGGCGGTGCGCGGGCGGCGGCGGGCTCAGCAGCAGCGGTGCGCGGGCGGCTGCGGGCTCAGCAGCGGCGGGCCGGGAGCAGGCAGCGCGCGGGCCGTGCGGGCCGTATGTGAGCTGCGCGGGCAGCGTGCGGGCCGGCGGCGGTCAGCGCAAGAGCCGCGCAGGCTCAGCGCGGGCTGCGCGGGCTGCTCGCGGGCTGCGTAAGCGGGTCGCGGGCGGCTCGCGGGGGTTCGCGGGCAGGTCGCGGGCTGCTCGCGGGCAGTTCGCGGGCTGTGCGCGGGCTGCGCGGGCTGGTCGCGGGCTGCGCAGGCGGTTCGCGGGCTGTGCGTGGGCGGTTCGCGGGCTGTGAGCGCGGCGCGCTGTGCGGTTCGCGGGCGGCGTGACGGGGCCGATCGGGGCGCTAAGGGGCGACGCGACGGGGGCCGTGAGAGGCCGCTAGGAAAAAAAAAATAAAAATTCGAAGGGGCCGCAGGGCCGCTAGATCGTGCTAGATCGACGGGGCCAGCGGGGCCGGAAACAAGCGAAGGTAAGCAGGTAGGTAAGTCGGTGGGCCCTAAGAACAGTCCTAGCGAAGGACCTGCTCTGAAACCATGTCAGAAATAACTGAGCAGGAATGGGATGAACTAGCACAGAGTTTGGTACAAGTAGGAAACCCTAACTTTGAGTACCCCCTAAGGTGTAACCCACTACAGCCTACATAATATAAACATGCAATGTTTGACACTGGACTGGTTGTGCGAAAGTGAACCATGTTAATTTCGGGCTTGTGTGCCTGCTACATTTCGCGTATTTGTCTGTGAAATTAGATACCCAATTGTCGTCCCTATTAGAGTCTTGTGAAACAAGTAGCATCTAAGAACCACACAAGTTTACCTACTAAGCTTTGGAAAATTGAGAGTCAGGCACGCGAAAACAGCGTGCAGCCATAGAAGCGAAACAACTACACTTTGAGCACATACGAAGCCACAACTCCCACACACTAGTTACTCGTCATCATCGGAAATCTCCTCAACTTCGTGGGCATTTTCTGGGGATGGCGGAGATGGCTGGGACGGCTTCTTCGCACACCAACGCGAGCTGGGCTGGCTCCTTGCTTTGGCGCGATCATCGTTGCACTCCAAAAACAGGCCGACACCCCTCAACTTCGCTGCTGCCTCGGGATCGTAACACCACGTGCTCACTACGTCGACCATCTCGTGCACGAGGGGCTCCAAACTCTTGTTCTTCGCACCCTTGAAAGCGGCCACCACCTGCTTCTCCACGTCGTCCGCATCGTCGCTTGACTTCAGAGCCACGATAATGTTCAGCCACGCTGCCAAGATTAGCTCCACGCTCAGGGCCGGTGCTCCAGCCTTCTCTGCAGCGCGTTTCGCTTCCGTGTCAGCGAATCCGCGATCATGTCCTTTGGAGACTAGCCACAGGAACGTGACCGTAAACGCCACGGAACCGGCAAGAGCACCCTCTGGAAACTTCAATTTCGCGTAATGCTCGTCCGCTTCCACCTCGAGGCCCAGCGCAATTGAGGCCTTGACCTCGTCAATCAGGTCGTCCAGTCCATCCGCTGCTTCCCTGAAACGCGAAAAGATGCTTCGCATCCTGCAGTGGACAGAGGCATCGAACGGGAACTAAGCCACGACCACAATGCCGCAAGTTAATCCGCGAAACATTGACCGAAACTCAAAGGCATAGCAATCAAACCAGAACGCGAAACAGACAGAAAAAAACCATAAACCGCGAAATGCCAAAGCGTAGTATAAAATAACGACACATACCTTTTACCCCCGGTGCACATGCCGCGAAGAAACATTACCGCGAACACCCGGATGCAAAAGACGCGCAACATCCAGATCCGCGGTCCATTTCTCCTCTTCCGCCTCCGACAAGACCATCTTGTCGCTCGGAACCTTCTTGTGCCACACGGTCTGTAAAACCGCGGCAGTATATCGCGCCTTTGCCAGTGCGTTGAAACTGCCAAAATACCAGCGCAAGTTCTGGTAGTGCAATTCCAGCGTCCACGCCGTTCCTTTCGCGTTCACCCGAATGCCGACTCCGAGCTCCTTGTCCTTCGCGGCTCCCTTTTCCTTCGCGGATCCCTTTTCCTTCGCGGGTCCCTTTTCCTTCGCGGCTTCCTTATCCTTCGCGGGGCCCTTATCCTTCGTGGGAACCTTTGCAGTCCCCTTCCCACCCTTGAGTCTTGCCATGAACGCCAGGGTTGCCTTCGTGGCCTCGGTCTCGTCAGGATCTGTGCCGTCCGCTCCCCCGATAAGCGGCACGACCAGTGTCCCGCCAGCGCCTGCACCAGCAGAACGACCTCCAGTGATGCCAGCCGCGAACTGTCCCGTGCGGAACTTCACCACCCACATTTTCGACTGCGGGTTGACGAGTGATCACCGGGTCGGAGTTTGATTTTGCTTTTTTCGGGGGGGGGGGGGGGGTGTGGCTGCGAGAGGAGCAGGAAGGACCGCGCTGCGTTTCCCGCCCTTTTCATCTCCAACTGCTGCATCGCCGGATTCCATACATGGGCGCCGCCCTTGGCCCGGATCCCGCACACCATATCCACCCTTTTCTCCCGCGATTGCCAATCCCGTCTCTCCACCACGAACGTTTGCAAAGAAATCCATCCCCGTTGGCCCCGGCGAAAAAAGGCCGCGTTGCGACACCATCGACATGAAGGCAGAAGCCGCCTCCGCCAACTTCGCTATGGCTCGCTCCGACGACTCCCGCTGCGTTGTCGCGGATGCACGTTCCGTCCTAACCTCATGCACAGCATCCGTGAGATCCTTCTCAGCACGCCTCTCCATGTCCGCCAACCTCCTAAGAGCAGTGGCAGACCTGTCAGTCACCCGAGACAACGCGGCGCGATGCTCCCCCATTCTCGTCAGCAGTTCGCGAATTTTCTTGCGCTGCACGAAGTTTTCGTGTCGCGCATCGGCCAGGTCCTGCCTCGAATTCTCGAGCGCGGAGTCCAGGCGGACGACCTCGTGCGCTAGCGACTCAACTAGCCACGATGACAACTCGTCCACGGTCCGCCTTTGCGCGATCGAACGCGCTGACCGGCGCGCAAGCCGTGTCTGTCCTACGAATCCGCGGTTTCCAGCGGCGCGAAACTGCGGAGCTTGATGAGCAGCGTCAACTGGTGCTCCAAACTTCCTGCTGCCAACCGCAACCCCGTGCCGTTCACCACGCTCAGCTCCCTCGGCCTCCTCTTCGCCCTCGCGTCCGCCCTCCCCTTCGCCCTCACCCTCTCCACCGCCCTCACCCTCCCCATACCCACCACGGTGGCCCTCCTCGTACCCACCCTCCCGCCCTCCCACTCCTCTTCGCCATCATCCTCGTATTCGCCCTCGTTGTCGCCCTCTTCCCCATACCAGTCGCCGTCACCTTCGCCCTCGCCTTCGCCCTCGCCTTCGCCCTCTCCTTCGCCCTCGCCCTCGCCTTCGTCCTTGCCCATGCCCTTGGCCGCGCCATTATTCTTGCCCTCCTCCTCACCCTCGGCCTCGCCATTCTTCTCGCCCTTGTTCGCGCCCTCGCCCATGTTTACGCCCTCGCCCTTTTTTCGCGCCCTCGCCGTTCTTCGCGCCCTCTCCCTTTTTCGCGACCCCGCCAAGTGTCGCGCCCTCGCTTGCGCCTCTGCCAGCTTCCGCGCCGGCACCCAGAACTCCCGCTCGCTTATGTGCAACCTCCGCTGGCCCACCGTGGCTGTAGGTTCCGACTGCTTCGTTGTACCGCGTGTCAATGGCGATGTCCTGGGCATGCCTCAGAATCTTATCGTGCAAAGGCTTCAAAGCGTACACGGACGCTGCACGGACGGGTTCACCAGGTGATTTCGCAATAGCCTCGAACTCCGAGAGGATGCGCGAAAACCCATATACAGCCTGTAATCCGAAAATTGCCTTCACCTTGTCCAATGCGCTCATGTCCTGCACGCGACCGTCGTAAACACGGGCAGAAAATTAGAATGCACTCGTATTCATTCGTGTGCGTAGCATAGGAGGCGCGGATTTACCATGGTCTCGCGCTTCAGCTTCTGCACGCGCTCACGCGCAAATACAAGGCTGGGCTCGTCGTCGGTGTCTTCGTACCTCTCCACTCGACTCTTGAACCAACTGCATGCATAACATCAATCACAAAGTTAGCACGCGAAATTCCACCAGAATTTAGAATGGCAACGAAAGCGCGAAACTACTCTATGATATTCGTCGCCTGCAGCCGTTGCGGGTCGGGGCCAAAACACGGGTCGATGTGGATAATACGCGTGCAGGCGCTCTCGTCCCTGTCATACTGCAGCTGATTTGGCTGCAGGATGACGAGGACGCTGCAAATCGTGATTCCGTCTTCGGGCCTGTACCACTCTCGCATGATCGGAGTCAGGAGGGGGCACGAACCTCGATTATACACCACTAGAGCGGCCAGTACTTACTTCGCCCACAGTGGGAAAACGAGAAGTTCCTCGTTCAACATGTCCGAGATCTCCGCGTTCGGATTCTCGGTCTGCTTGGTGCAGTCCTTGAGCCACAAACTGCCCTGCTCCGACGATGTGACAATTCGTGTTGACTTCTTGCGGTCGCCGCCGAGTTTCGCCAACACGAAGCTGCACGATGCACACCCGCGAATATCAGCGTACTTCATCGAGGTTGAAACATTAGGTCGCCCGCAAACAATTACAGGCATGCGAAACTTACAGGCATGCGAAATCCAGTGCAGCGGGGGTGTACTCGACGCTCTCATCCAGAATAGCTTCCTTGTCCTTTTCCGTCAGCACAACGGACGCACCGCTCGCTTCCATGGCGACGTCCACTTTGTTGAAACTCTCCAAGCGGTCGTAAAGCGCGCGCCTCTCACGTAACATCTTGTCGCAAACGCGAAACCAACAAACGCGGTAACGCCATTGAATGCAGCGCGAAAAAGTTGCGTTAACCGTGACGCTCATACGAGACCTCTACAAGACCCGCGAAAACTCTTATGTAAGGCAACCACTCACATTCGTCGGCCAAAAACGTTCGCATAAGCGCGATAATAAACACTACAAAATTTCCGCGAAAGGTACCGCCCTTTATCTGGAAGTGGTGCTAACACCTCTGACACGAAAGTGCTAGAGGGTCGATTCCGCGAAGTACAAGGCACTCTAATCACCTACAACAAGAGCAGCCTAAGCTACGAAACTACGAGCGAGAAAACGACCAACAACCACGGAAACACCAGCGACAATTCCACCAACACCCTCCCGAACTACCACCCGACGTCCACCCTCCCGGCCACCCCTACTCCCGATTCCCCACGTCCCCCCCACCTTGACCCCGTCCCTTTACTCACCTGGCAGAAGGCTTGTGTGAAGGGAAGGAGAGGAGAGCTGAGATGCGAAAAAACAAAATGAAAACCACAATGCGAATGCACAAATGAAAAATGACGGCCACCACGGCCATATAACCGATTTCTCGAGCACCCTGCAAGCAAAACGCGCCGTAGGTTCGGCCCCACGCGAACCAATGGTTTCGGGCCGGAACTGTCCCCGATGCGTGGACGAGGCTCGGTTTGGTCTCGCGTCCTCGCAGCAGAGTGCATCGTTTAATTTGAGCATGTGGATTTGCCACGTGTAGCTCCCATGTGCACATGTTGGTGTACGTGTTTTGGTTTGTTCCGCTTTTGTTTATGTTCGTGAGCCTTTTCAGGTAGGGTTTCACGAAAATCGGTAACTCGAAAACCATGCATCCGTAACAATATCGTCGCACGCGCGCCGGACGACCATGCGTGCGACGTCGCAAAGGGCTCGGGCGACAGCAACCCACCCGTGCCCGTGCTGAGTCAGCCGGGCTGGGCTTGGGCAGCTGGCCGAGTCAGGTGGTCCCCACGGAGGTGCGTCGCTCGGGTGGGTGGTGCGTCATCGGTGGTCCCAGGCGGGCAGTCCGTGGCTCGGCGTCCCGGGTAGGGGCCGAAGGGTCGGCCCTCCGAAATCACGCTAAGGGGTCGGCCGCGTGCCCCAGTGCCAGCCTGGGGCTGCCTCGCGTGCCTGGGGTACCGACGCCGAAGGCATCGGGGTTCCTCGGGCCCTTGGCTTCGGGAGAAGGGGCCCAACTTCGGCCCGATTAGAGTGGTTTGGGACTCGAACAGGCCGCTTGAGCCAGGATGTCTCGCTTTACTGCGCTGCACTTGGAGTCCGTCTCTCTAGTGTACTACGGAAAGCGTGCATGTTTATAAAGTGAAAAGGAACTTGCGAAAGGGGATGCGAGTATGATAAAGGTCAGGACATATGAGCAATTGAATATTTTTTAATTCTGGATGACACCACGTACTCCAGTAGAGTATTGTGAAAATTCAAGGGCCCATGCTCAACATCTCTGAAACATCAGATTCTTAATATTTGGTCTGATAAAAACAGCCACGGGGCGTACCGTATGGCCCCGGATAGTAGCGCAGGTGCGCTTATAATAAATTTAATTGTTGTAAGGGTGGCGCTTGTAATTGAGTAACGGCCATAAGCGCCGGCGCTTTTATAAAGGCAAAAATGAAATTCAAATCTAAAAGGTACCAAGGCGAATACGCAGATGTGACGTGCGCATGGCGATCGTGCATAGAATCACGGCGAAACTTGCCGCGATTCAAATTCCAACCGCACAAAACATGTCCCAGAGCAACGCACCTGCCAGCGCTGACGCGAAAGCTGCCGTGCGGCCCAATCAGGTCGTCATGCAAAGCTAGGCAGGTGCATTTCAACCGAACCCTCTAGAAGGGGGTAGAAGATGCCCTGCCAGCGCAGCATGGATGGTGCCATGAACCCTACTCTACGGGTTCAGGCAGGGGTGTTAACCCTCGTTCATCGACGAGGACCCCGAGGCGCTGAGCCGAAGGGTTTACCTTCAATCTTTCATTTCTTCCCTCGTTCATCCAGTTTTACCTTCAGTTTCGGGTTCTCTCCCGCCAGGCTGCGAAAGCCATGGCGGAATTTGTCAAATTATATATGTACTATATATATGTGTAGGCTGTAGTGGGGTAGCCAATATAGGGTATAGCCCCTTTAGGGTTTCATACTTGTACCCACCTGCCATCTAGTTCAATCCATTCCTGCTTCTATTTCTGACAAGGACCGCTTTTTTTTTTTTTTTTTTTTTTTTTTTTTTTTTTTTTCCGGGCCCACCTACCGTTTCGGTTACCGAGCTACCTCACGTACTGCCCTGTGCTGCGCCCCTCGAGCGCGCTCTGCCCTGCGCTGCGCTCTAGCGCGCGCCCTGCCCTGCTTTGCCCAGCGCTGCGCTGCTCGCGCGCGCCCTGCCCCGCTCTGCCCCGCTGCCCGCGCGTCGCCCGCGGCTGCTCCGCGCGCCGCCCGCGCAGCCCTCGCGCGGCCTGCTTCTGCCCCGCGCGCCGCCTCTGCCGCTCGCGCAGCCCGCGGCTGCCCCGCGCGCCGCCTTAGCCGCCCTCGCGCGGCCTTGCTGCTGCCCCGCGCGCCATCTTACCCGCCCGCGCGCCGCTTCAGCAGCCTCCGCGCGCCTTGCGGCTGCCTTGCGCACTGCCCCAGCAGCTTGATCGCCGCCACTGCAGACCTGCGCGCGGCTTCTTCCGGCCTGCTCTCTGCTTTGCCGTCTGCGCGCCCCGCTTACATGCGTTGCAATCATGGCGACACTGAATGTTCTCACTTTCGATCCTGACGGTCGCCCGTCGAATTTGCTACTTGGCTAGACGATCTGCAACTATTTCTTATGACTGACACCAAAGATGGCGTGTCCCTGTACGATCACGCGTCTGGCACTTCCGTTGCTCCTGCTGATACTGCTGCCACTCTCGACCGCTCACAGTGGCAGACTCGCGATGCTGCTGCGCGCCTCGCTATTCGCAACCATCTGCCGATCACTGAGCGCGCGCATTTTAGTCAGCACAAGACTGCTAAGGCACTGTATGAGGCTGTAGTTGCCCGCTACTCTTCCCCAGCCACTGCAGCCCTAGGTCGTCTTCTCCTACCCTACCTGTTCCCCGACCTGTCCTCGTTTACCACCGCTGAGGACCTCATCTCTCACCTTCGCGCTAGTGACGCTCGCTTTCGTGCCGCCCTTCCAGACGATCTCCTCGCCGAGAATCCCCCCCGATGTACTTTACTCTCTACTTCCTCGTCACCCGCCTCCCTGACACTCTTCGCTCAGTCAGGGACCACTTTCTCGCCCTAGACCCTACCACTCTCACTGTCGCCGACTTCGAGAAGCACCTCCTAGCAGCCGAACAGAACATTCTCGCTGTAGGTGATGCTCGTGGCGCTCCTCGCGCTCCCCACTTTGAGGGGTGCTCCCCCTCCCCTCTTGCCCCCTCCTACGCCTCTGCTGCTGCTGCTGCTGCTGTCGACTTCCTTGGTGCTGAGGAGGTCGGGGCTGCTTCTGCTCCTAGTGGGAAGCGCCGCAGCGCCAGGGGCAGCAGGGGTGGCAGGGGAGGTGGAGGCAGCGGTGGAGGGGGCGGTGGTGGAGGGGTCGGGGGAGGTGGCGGTGGTGGGGGTGGTCGTGGGGGTGGAGGTGGAGGTGGGGGCGGCGGTGGTCCCGGGAGCAGTGGGGGTGGCAG